CCTCCCCAGGCCTGGCTCCAGGGCGGGGCCCCGGTAACCCTATCCCGGGCAGGGTAAACTGTTCCCTCGATGTCCTTTTCATAAGGGTCTTATGAATCGCTCTTTGTCTGGTCCCTCACCCAGGGCCAATTTGCCATGGGAGACCCTACCAGGGGGCAAAAGCCCCCAGACAACATAGCCCCTGGGATCCCTGTGACACACAAACCCCTCCACCACGATAAGGTAGCGATTCAAGGAGGGGTGATAGACTATTAAAATAAATAAAATAATAAAAACCACAGTGAAATGCAATATTTCTCATTCTGTTTTTTTTTCTTTTCTTTTTTTAAATAAACTAATGTACTCATGAATGCTTCATCCTGGATTATGTTTGCTTTTTGATCCTCATTGTACTGGACTTGAAATGTTTGCACTTTGAGGAGTTGCATGCAGTATTTTTTTATTTCCATATCAGGGATCAATTACATGGGCAGGTTTTAATGTTTACAGTTGGTGAGTCCTGTTTTGTATCTCTGAGTGCAAAGAGGAAGTCATTTGTGGTCCTCATTCTCACAATAGGCTGTTGCCTTGGCGATTATCAAAGTAAAATTGATTGCGACAAAATCTCATTGCTAAGGATCAGCCTCAGTGCTGTGATGTTTCCTCTCTCTGGGAGCGACAAATCTGGGAGCAGTGGGTGAGAAAGTCACAAACATTATGGTTAAAATAAGACTCGGAGAGACCAAGCTGAAAATATATCTTTTATATCAGTGGCATAGCTCAGAAAGGGACTTCTCTGATACACTCATGATCAAGCTTAATTAATTATATATTGTGAATCAATGGAAAATAAGCTAATTATAGACACAAACATATACACTATGCTTAAGATGCCATACTAATCACCACCAAAATATCTGAATGAATGAATGAATAAAGTGGCCATTTGTATAATATTGATAAAGAAGATTGTAGGACTGTATTATCCATTCATCCATCCATTCCACTTATTCTTATGAGAGTCGTGGGTGTATACTAAATAAGAATGTAGTATCAGGGATGGGACAAAAAATCAGCTAGTGACCGGCCCACCATGGTATTATGGGAAAAGCCATAGAGCCTTTATAATAAACTTAAACCTACACCATCCTTCCTATTCTGGTATTCTAAACAGTACTTAGCAAAAATATAAAACAAACTAATTTATAATTACATATACTAACTAATAGGGTTGCCAAAAAAATAGGGAACCATCCCCCCCCTGCCTCAAGATGCTTAACTGACAAAACCGATTTTAATTTAATGCATGTATAAAACAAATGCACAGAAATCTATTATTTTTCTCCAGTAATTGAATAGATTCAACATCTTTCTTCAACAGAATTGCAGACTGCACAGATACCTTCCCAAAGGAAAGAATACTATAACTTACAATAATGCATTTCTATACATTTTACATCAGATGAAAACTTTGGTTGTAAGATAATTATTTATTAAAAGCTAAAGACTTTAAATGAGAATAAGAAAGAAAAGTATTTCTTTGTGCAGCCATATGGCCTTTGGTTGCCTGCTCATCCCAGCTGGTTAAACCAGTGCCCTACTTTTAAACACCTTTAAACTAATATTTTCTTGGATTTAGTCCAAAAGGGTCCAAAGTTCTGTTGTTTTATTTTATTTCTGTTTTGTTTTCTAAAATAACATAAATTTACTCCAGCAGCATGTACACAGGCAGATGAGTGACAGAGCGGTGGTTGTAAGCAAACTCCCCTGTGGAGGTTATTATTTATTCGGGTGTGTAACTTAGGAGTTAACCCACTGAAAGACAAACTGTCATTGTATGATATGTTGAAACCTCCCTTTGTAAATGAAAGATAATCCTCAGAGTTTACACAAGACAATTTGTTGTGCGTGCTTCGCTTTCTTATTGGCAGGATTTAATCAGGAGCCACTAATGATGCAGTTCTCTTTGAATACATGTCAATGAAGCTAAACAGCTAAAATAATGACGTGCTTCTTATGCTTCTGCTTCTGAGATTTAAGAACATATATATATATTTTTTTTCTCACTACAGCTATGGGACCCAGTTCACTGTTGATGATCTCATGAGCACATCCTATGGGACCTGAAGTTTGAATCACCTTGTTGTTGAATTGTGCTATACAAATAAACTTGCCTTGCCTTGCCTTGCCTATGTGAGTTTCTAATACACTTTTTATTATGTTTCTAATTTCTAGCTATCAGTTGGAAATTACTTACAGTCATGGAGATTATTGTGTAGAATACCATCAGTATTATGTTTATGTTTTAGGAGATAAATCAGCTTTAGTGTAAGAAAAACTAAATACTTTTTTAAAGCTCATTTACATTGTTTAGTGTTTTTTGGTGTTTGTTTTAAACAACAACAACAAAAAGATTTATTCCAAGCAGTTCATGTTAACATCACATTAAAAAGTGTGCTTTTTTGTTTCGAATCAGATAAACATCTGACAAAAATAGCTGGTTTAGTTAAACTGTTTGGTATTAAACGCTAGTAAAGTAATCCAATGAATGTGTCTGAATTTGCAATTTTGAAAAAAAGTTAGATCACCCCTCTTACTTTTCAAATTGACGTTCAGCTTTTGTTCAAAATATTTTTAAAGTGCATGAAGATTCCTAAAGTGACTGATAATAAAACATATTTTAAAATGTCTGTTTTGCCTTTTCTTGTATTAGAAAATGTAACTGCAACTGCAACACCTAAGAAAGCATTGAAAATCATTACCTCAAAAGAATGAAGCACCCTCAAGTAAATAACTTTGTTAATTAATAATTGATTTGTTAATTTTTTTGACTTCATGTTTAAGGAAATAATAACCTGTTAAATTAAATACATAAATGAAAATTATTTTTTGTGATCTTTCATTATGCAATCAAAGCAATATCATCAACATCATATGACCACCTTAACCTGAATGTAGGAAATAAACCACGCAAAATTTGTGGGAAAGTGTCTGAATCCTAAAAAAAAGAATACATAAATAAACACATTATAAACAGTAGTTTTAATAATATTTGATGAATGAATGGATTTTGTCCTTTAATAATATTATTATAATCACAGATTTATCTCATTTTAAGATTACTGTTGAAATACCGTTTTGTTTTGTTTTTTTAATTATATCTTATTTGGAATGGACAAGAAAAATCCATCAACCTAGCAATATATGAATAACATGAAAACAGAGTCCCTCCAGGTTTTTAGAGTTAAGTCCAGGACAGCAAATGATATGATATTCAATGACTCATATAACATAAGGATAGAACACATTATATGGAGAAAAGTCTGCAAACTTTGTGTCATCATATTGAAATTATAACATAGTTTAACTTAAAAGTATTCAGAAGTAATTTCAGCTTGGTGGAATGATGTTGTTATGTCCGCTCAGTCATAGAAACAGGTTTCAGCGCAGAGTTGCATTCATGACTGCGACATCAGAATATCTCTCCTTTTATCTTGGGGTGACTGTGTGAGCATGTACTCGTCTCCTTGAAACAAATTGTCAGTTTCAAAAGAAACAACAAAAAATGAAAATCAAGTAGGAAAACCCTACATTTATAAAATTCACACAGTACTCTAGAGGGCATTTTTTGGTAGTGTTCTAATGTCCTATTTTCTGGAAGGGAGCATGAGGTTGCTTCTGTTTCCTCAGTCACATTAACCCCCAAAAAATGCAGCCCAAACAGCTGATAAGTTTACACACTGTTGGGGTTCTTTTTATCTAAGGCAAGAGAGGGTCTCAGTCCCAATCCAAATTTTCACTCATTTACTGCCTCAAGCAATTAAAAAAAATTATGTATATGGATTTCTTTCCCATTAAAAAAAACACAGTCTGCAGGAGTTTGCTGTAGCCAATTTCCGGAAGACACGTAGCCCTAATTTGGCAGTAAAAAAAAATATAAACAAGAATGTGCTTCTCTCTGATTGGTCAAAAAACCATTGGGGAGGGCCATAGTTTAGATTTAAGCCCCCTGTATTGGCGCACAGGTTGATCCTAACCTCTTGGCGCTCTTCTTCTACTCCATTGGGTGCAGCTTCACTGTCTGACTATCTCTTCTTACGCACACACACACACACACACACTGGCTTGCCTCTCCTTTACATGTTATCTAGTTCCGTACAGCAGAGGCATATGCCTGAGGCAGCTGTTGAGAGCTATCGAGCTATTGTTTGTTTGACCTCATCCTGGTTCACTCCCACATTCCTGCAGACAGGAAGTTTTAGGTAGTGAACTGTTGGTGTACATTTGCATTAGCAGAAGTAGACAATGAAAGTAGGAAATACCCGCAAACTGGCATTTCTCGTTATACAACGTCAACAAATGCAAATGAATAATGCTTTGTGAACAGACCAGTTTCTGTCTTCAGAACAGTGTGTATGTCTATTAACTCTCAACAACGTTCCTGCATATGAGTTGTTTAGAAGTCATCAATACATTTTAGCTACAGATAATAATGTGGATTATACAGTGATACATTCACATTATGCCATAACATTGTGATACCTAGACTGTCTGTTAAATGGCTGTTTACAAACTGACATGGAGCAGTGTAATACTTAATGTTGCTCTTAACTACTTAATATAATACTTAGATAAAGGATCTTGTTCCTCGAACCAGTAATCATACAGGTGTGTATTGGTGTTACGCAAGAGCCTTCCAAGCTGGTCAAAAGTTAAATAAATAGACAATTAATGTGAGCACCCTACAGCAACTTTCAGTCAAAAAAGTTGATATTTATATGTATCACAAAATTGGAAATATATTTTTTTTGTACACATGTGTAATTTAGTTACACTCAAGATCAGAAAAGGCAAACAGGTATTCACGAAGCCTTAGGACGGTTAGGAGTCTTTCGCAGGCAAAACAAAGGTGTGGAGAAAAAAAAGGTGTGGCTGCCTCACAGGTAAGAAACGTCACACAATGCCATGGTTACTCGCTCAGCCTTAGAACAGTCATAGGATGGGCTGTTAATCCCTGGAAAGCTTTAACACTGCTTGGTGTCTGCTCTAGTCTGTCCCTGTGAAACAAAATGCCAGCGTTGACATGAATTTTTCAGCGAAACAACATCTCCTCAGTTTTTTCTTTGTATAACTGGACAAGGGGAAAAGCTTACATTTTTAGAAAACTGAATGTTAACATCCAATGAAGGTATGTAACCTTTTTAAATGCATTTTTGTCTCTCATGTCTCTCAAATAAGGGAGTAGGAAAGCAAACGGTCACTAGTTGAGAGATATTTCTATAGAAAATTTGAATAAATATGAAGCTAAAACATTACTTTAAGGTTTTATCCATTTAATGATTCTGAGGGATCCTGAGGGATCATTAAACTGATAAAACAGCCCGTGTGAGGTAATGGCACTCTAATAACTTGCATTTAATAATTGGATGAATTGATTTGTTTGAAAGCAAAACCACTGACAGAAAGATATCTCAATACCTTATCTCTCCTCTTAGCCAAGAAATGGTGGAAGGTGTGAAACCAGCAGAGGATGGGAGGTGGTGCAAGTTTTCCCGGAACAAGTATTTCGTCTTTATTCTGGTATTTGCAGGTCTGTTCCTGATTTACAACAGAAATACAATAATACCAGATGAAAACCCAAAAAAGTGGATGCAAAATCAATCAGCAAATTTGTTGAATTTCTTCAGTGGTCAGAGACTAAACATATCCTCACTAAACACTACAACTAATGACAACTCCACTTCTCAAAATACAACTGTACCACCAACACCTGTTCCTTACGTGTCTCCTGGACCATATTTAGTTGAATACCCCCATGACTACCAGTACATCATAAATGAGCCACAGAAATGTGAACAGGAGAACCCATTTGTGGTTCTGATCGTTCCTGTGGCCCCAAACAATAGGCAACACCGTGACATCATCCGCAAAACCTGGGGGAGTGAAAGTCTTGTCCAGGACAAAGTGGTGAGGCTGTTCTTTTTACTGGGGCTGCACACCGGGGAGGAGGTGGAGCAGGTCCAACAGCAAGTACTTGAGGAGAGCAAAGAGCATCACGACCTGATCCAGAGCAACTTTGTGGACTGCTACAAGAATCTCACCATTAAGACCATGGTGATGCTGGAGTGGCTAACTGCACACTGCTCCAGCCCCTCTTATGCTATGAAGATTGATTCAGACATGTTTCTGAATGTACATAATCTTGTCAGTATGCTCTTGAATGCTCAAAAAGCAAACTATATGACTGGGCTTGTGGCAAGTGGCGGTACAGTACTGCGAGATCCAAGCTCTAAGTGGTACCTACCTCATGACATTTATGCTCCGCCACAGTACCCCCGCTATGCTCTGGGCCTGGGCTACATTTTGTCTTTAGACCTCCCAAAAAAGCTCGTTGAGGCATCCAGACATGTTAAAGCAGTTTACATTGAGGATGTGTATTTAGGGTTGTTAATGCAGCACCTGGGCATTCCTCGCACTGACTCCCCAAACTGGTATTACTTCCATGTATTTCCTTTGCCATATAATCGATGTGCCTTCTCCAGGATAGTAGCCACCACAACTGATCCAAACACTAACCGTGAGCAAATTTGGAATGACTTTAAAAACCCAGGCCCATACTGCTAACCATAAACTGAAAAAATAAAATAAAAATGCAACATGAAACAACAGGGCAGACTTTCCATGACTCTTTAAAAAAATATGTATTTTTATATTCACATATAGGCTATTATGATACTCATGTAAAATCCCCTAATCTCAAATTTTATTGAAACTGAACTAGTATTGTTCCACTGTATATTTAAACTACACAGTTTATGTAGTTTATTATTTAAAGAGTGACATTTTACATATCTGAGTCTTTGTTAATTAAGTTTAAAAACTGTCAAAGTGAAAACATGCAGTCACACCCGTTCTTAACACTACAAAACGTGCAGTCACACCCGTTCTTAACACTACAAAACATGATCCCTGACTGTGTTCTCAAGTTACAGTCCTCTCTGTGTTCACAGTTTCTGGGAAATGCAAGGTACACAGAAACAGATATCCTTAAGCATATTGACCTTACAGTGTATTAAATGGATATTTTGCAACAGGTCAGTGTATGATAGAATTTATTTCTCACTGCGATTAAGAAGTTGAGAATTTTCCAAGGTGCATGAATAACATTATAAACAACCTCTACCTTTGACGTCTGTTGCATATGTCCTATCAAACGGTACCCATGCATCAATTATGGGAATATACATAACATAGGGAGTGAAATATATTTATCCCTGTGGCCCTAATTTTTAATTACTTTTTAAACTTTAGTGTAGAAAATTATTTCAAACATGAGATTTCTGTTGATGTGTGTAGAAAATAGTTTAAGGCTTGAAGGATGTTCTTCTTGCTTTACTCCTTCTGTTCATGTTCTAGGCCTCATCTTTACTTACCATACTGTATATATAGAGGAAGTGATGTCTTCCAAAAATCCCCCTTTTTTAACGCCTGTCTGAATGTTTCTTGCACTAAAAGACAGGCTAATATCAACCAGGTCACCACTGACATATCTAGAGTTTTTGTTTTAAAGGTTTTGTTTTATGTTTAATAAATAAACTGTCAGAAATTCCACTTACATTTTTATGAACTTTTGGATATTTAGTGATACGAATAGGATAAAACATTAAAAAACGACTGCTGCCTACACTTACCTTGGATGTTTTGAAATGTTTTTTGCACCTGGGCTAAAGACCGCTTGTGGTTCTGTACAGTAAATACAATTTTTTTTGTCAAAAGTATTTTTATTGAATTATAATATATAATTAGAATATAACTTTAACAGGTACATTATGAATACATTCCATGTGTAAATATGGTTTTATTATTATTATTATTTTTAAAGGTTACAGGGCAATATTAGTTTAAAGTAACTTCTATGAAAACAGGGTTTTTTTCTGTTATTACCACTTAGTTCCAGGCCTCGAGGGCCAGTGTCCTGCAGGTTTTAGATCTCACCTTGGGTCAACACACCTGAATCACATCATTAGTTCATTACCAGGCCTCTGGAGAACTGCAGGACATGTTGAGGAGCTAATTTAGCCATTTAAATCAGCTGTGTTGGTTCAAGGACAAATCTAAAACCTGCAGGAACACCGGCCCTCGAGGCCTGGAGTTGCCCACCCCTGAGTTAGACAAATATTTACAACTGCTGACTATTACATTAGGCTCTTCTGAATATCTGTCTACATTATGCATGCGTGACCAATAACTGCTTAATGTATTTTAAAGTAAAGCTGTACATGAAGGTACTGAATAGATCTTCTTATTTACATTTACAATTCTGACATGTGAAGTGTGTAACAGTGAAAATCTTAGAAAGGTTAAATGCAGACACTTTGTGGCTATTTTGTACGCCACAATTAAACAACGGGATGAAATGGAACGAGTTGAACCTGTATGTCGACTGATTTGTGTGTGCAATAAATAGCTGATACAGCTAAGTTTTAGGAAATGTGTCTGTTATGTGTTTTTTTTTTTTACATGTATGTGTGTACTTTCATGGCTCTTTGATCATCCACTTACCTTTCATCTGGAACTCAGTTATGTTTTTGTAAAATTTGCCAACAGCTGTTAAAAATATCTCTTTTCATTTTAAATAGAACAAGACTTAATTGATTAATATGGCAATGTTATCTACAGACACCCACAGTAAGTTAACCTTGTAACTTAGTTGCAGCAGGTCATACAATATTACAGTTGTGGTTAGCTTGTTCTCCTTAGACATTTCCACAGATGAAATCCAGAAACAGCTGTGAGAATTGGCTCAGAAAAATACACGGAGGTGTATTTTCTCATATGTAGCACACAGCAGGATACAGTTAAGTTAATACAAGTTTTCACAACCACTGACAAGGACCTTGTACTTTTGATTATCAGCTTCCAGCAAACTAAGTTGGGGGAATGGGAATGGTATTCTGTAATGTACATGCGTGTTAAATTTAACTTTTAAAATAAAAACAGAAGATTTGCTCCTTCGTAGGGTCTCCCAAGGGAAAATGGTCCTGTGTAAGGGGCCCGGCAAAGCGTTTTAGAGATGAGAGAAAGATCAAGGGAACATTTAATCATTGTAGGGGCTCACCATGGAGCCAGGCCTTTTCTCTCTGCTTCATTATGTATCAGTGGTTATTGGGGGACCACGACACTGCTTCGAACTTACAGGTCAACTATGTACAGACAGTTTTCACAGTGTTTCACACACAGATTTTTCATCCATCTCCTCTGCTCTCCTTCCTTTTTTTGCTCAACGTCACAGGTCCCACCATTCTATTAAGATCAAATTGGAAGTGATGACTTGCAGCTGTGGCAGCCAGACTCTCCTGACTCCAACCCTGAACCCTCTGCTTCACCTCTCCCCTGCAGTTGAGCCGCAAGCCACACCCGGTCACCACACTCTGCTTTGTGGACTTTTCTTTCTTTCCCCTCTTTCTGTAAGGCCATTTCTTTGTTTTTGTCTTTGTCTTTGTCTGCTTGTATTTTGCCAAATGGGTCATTGTAACCCTGGGCCAATGGAAGAAAAGATTCTACTCCCTGTAGTAAAACAGTCAACTCAGTAAACTCTGTTTCACTGAACTCTGCTTTTCTCCTGAGTATATTTTTTATTGGATAAATATATAACACATTTCACCAAAACGTTAGGGAAGGCATTTTTACAATGAGCCAACACTGCTTCCATGGGGTAAAACCCGAGATTACAACATTGACTTAACTTGATTAGATAACCAGTACTTCTTGTTCTTTCATTTACCAGTTTGCATGCGTAATCAACACAGCACAGATTTCCAGACTCTTCTACTTTCATCCTTTGCCGTGCAACAGATTTGTGGACTTAGAATGATTTAGACCCCACTCCTACAAAACTGCTCAAAAAAGTCCTGCCGTTGATTGATGGTTCAATCTTAAATATGATCAAGCTATCTCTAATAATCAGCTATGTACTGCAGACCTTCAAGCTGGCAGTAGTTAAACCATTTCTTTAAAAAAAAAAAAAAAATCTCTGGACTATTAAAACCCAATTCTTTGATCACCATGATAGAACAGAGAAAACCCGACTCAGAGTGGTCAAAACATTTATATTTCTTTATTCAATCATCTTCTGGAAGAGAGAGCCCTGCACAGCCCCAAAAACCAGTTGAAGAAACTCTAACATTAGAATTTAAAAATGTGTCTCATATAGGTGTTATTTTGGTCCTAAGAATATATTTATTACATGACAGAACCCAGCTGTCTTAACTAATAATAGGACAATCTCCAACCTTCCTTTCACATCCAAAATTCTTGAAAGAGTAGTTGTCAAACAGCTAACAGATCATCTGCAGGGAAATGGCTTATTTAAAGAGTTTAAGTCAGGTTTCAGAGCTCATCACAGCACAGAAACAGCTTTAGTGAAGGTTAAAAATGATCTTCTTATGGCCTCTGACAGTGGACTCATCTCTGTGCTTGTCCTGCTTGATATAGTGCAGATTAGATTAGAGATATCCTGTCTCAGAGTGACGCTGAAAAACTAGTTCATGCATTTATTACTTCCAGGCTGAACTACTGTAATTCATTATTATCAGGATGTCCTTAAAACCCCATGAAAAGCCTTCAGTTAATCCAAAATGCTGCAGCAAGAGTTACTGACAGGGACTAGAAAGAGAGAGCATATTTCTCCTGTATTGTGTTTCCTTCATTGGCTCCCGGCTGAATCCAGAATTGAATTCATAATCATGCTCCTCACATACAAGGTAATAAATAATCAGGCCCCATCTTATCTTAATGACCTTGTAGTACAACATCACCCTATTAAAGCACTTCACTCTCACACTGTGGGCTTACTTGTTGTTCCTAGAACCTTCAGTTCTCAGGCCTTCAGTTAGGAGCCTTCAGTTTGTGTGGATGAGGACACTAGGCCCAATTTCCGCCTGAGCATAGAGTCTCTGAACGTGCTGCTGAATCTCCTTAACCAGGATCGGAGACATATAGTTGGGGTGCCACAATTGAGGTCCTTGTTTTTGCATTCTGGCTGGCAAGTGAAGCATCCTACAGAGTCTTTTCCAGGGTGTTTGCAATATCCCATTCCACTGTCCACCGCATGGACAGTGGAATGGCAATTCATACTTGTTATCAATCTCGGGCTCTCTTCCACAGCATGTCTTTTATCCCTTCTTCCTTCTCTCACCCCGACTGGTCACTGCAGATGGCCGCCCCTCCCTGAGCCTGGTTCTGCCGGAGGTTTCTTCCTCTTAAAAAAGGAGTTTTTCCTTCCCACTGTCACCAAAGTGCTTGGTCATATGGGGTCATGTCATTATTGGGGTTTTTTTCAGTATGTATTATTGTAGGGACTACCTTACAATATAAAGGACCTTGAGGCGACTTTTGTTGTGATTTGGCACTGTATAAATAAAATTGAATTAAATGGAACTAAATACGTACATTGGATTTCTATCATTTCTTTTTGTTGTCAGTACATCACTGGAGTTTCGTACAGCTAAACCAAATAACTAATTTAACTGATCAATAACTTGAGAATGAAATCCAGTTGAAAAGATACAACAGACACACATGCATGTCTCGCCTGGTGAATAATTGCTGAGTTGATGAAGAGCAGAAGCAAACAGAAGAAACTAAACCTCGTCTCAGAGTATCAGTGTGTGAGTCATCACCAGGCTAACAGCTGAGGTCAATAATTACTACCTCTGTAAGTGTGTCTGTGAAGGTTCTCAGTCATCCAGGTCATCGTAGTCAAAGGAGCTTGCAAACAAAAGCGTCTGGACTTCTTTAAGTTGCTTGAAGACATTTCACCTCTCATCTGAGAAGCTTCTTCAGTTCTAAGGTCAAATGGTGGAGAGTCCCAGATTTAAACCTAGTGGGAGTAACCCCCCACAGAGGGACAAAAGGACCCCCTGATGATCCTCTAATCGCTTGAGCCAAGGTGTGAAACTGGGTGTGGGTCCAATCAGCCAGGGTTTCGGATGAGCTCATTGTGAAACCTGGCCCCACCTTATCATCAGGATGTGAGTGGGCGTTAAGGTGTCTGGGAAGGGATCTCAAAACTGGATTATAGATGGCAGACAGTTGGTGTCGTAAACCACCGCCTCTGTTCAAAGATGGTCGCTCACAGTGGACATAGATGGCTTCTTTCACTCCTCTTTCAAACCATCTGTCCTCTCTGTCCAAAATGTCAACATTGGCATCCTCGAAAGAGTGTCCTTTATCTTTAAGATGCAGATGGACTGCTGAGTCTTGTCCTGTGGAGGTGGCTCTTCTATGCCACCACTGTTCTATATATAGAACAGACCTGAACTTCATCTTCGGCTTTTTTGCATCGAGGAGGAGCTGCTGAAAAAAAAGGAAGTGGTTAGTTGCTCTGTTGCTAAGCAGATAACTAACGTTTACATGTAGGTGATTGACCTTAACTATAAATAATAATGTATGTGGAAGTAGCATAGACAATGTTTCATGTCAACACACTTCGTTGTTTTTTTATTACATTTTAAAAAAATTAAATCAACTGGGAATACATTTAGAGTATATATAATTTTTTCAGATGCACATTGTAAAGATGCAGGGACATTTTGCAGATTCAATGATTCTTGTGCTGTTCATTAAAAATCTGGGCGTTATAATGATTTTTCTTATGTTGCTCAGTTTGCAACACAGCCAGTAATTCTTGCACTTATTCTGCCTCATGACATTTTTACTACAAACTTCCACTTTAACTTGGCCATTGTTGATTCATAAAAGTATCGAGACTTGTAAAAAAAGAAAAAGAAAAAGAAAGCTGCTGTTAAAAATAGTATTTTGAGGCATCGCCATCCATTTTTTTCCACTTATCCAATGTAGGGGTTCAATTTTTGACCTGTGACATAAGAAAACAATTTATCTATCCACCTCGTGTGCAGAGCAAAGGTCC